GACTGATTACTTTACCAAATGGGTAGAAGCAGTTGCTTTGAAAAACGTGGATCAGAAAGAAGTGATAGACTTCGTTTTGAACCAAATTATTTACAGATATGGTATTCCTCAGTCTATAACAACCGACCAGGGCCTGGTTTTCACAGGGGAAAAGTTTTCTAGTTTCTTGGCAGAATTTGGTGTCCGATTACACCATTCGTCACCTTATTATCCCCAGGCCAATGGACAAGCGGAAGCAGCAAATAAGATCATTATTGGGATTATAAAGAAGATGGTTGAAGGGAACCCAAGAAAGTGGCATTTGTTATTGTCTCGGGCTTTATGGGCACATAGGAATACCAGAAATACGGCCACAGGGTTCTCACCGTACCAACTCACTTTTGGCCAAGATGCTGTTTTACCAGCCGAGATCCGAGTATCGTCTGGCCGAACAGAATTTACTGATGGTGATCTTACAAAAGAATGCTAACAACTTATGTTGCAACAGTTGGAGGATTTGGATGTTAACCGACTCCATGCAATAGGTCGAAGTGTGAAACAAAGTGAAATCAGAGCAAGGAATTACGGAAAGAAAGTTCTTCACAGGACATTCCAAAAAGGAGACCTAGTCTGGAAGACCATTCTTCCTACATATAAGAAAACTGACCAATTGGGAAAGTGGTCACCGAATTGGGAAGGACCATACATTATTCAAAAAGATATTGGGAATGGCGCTTTCATTATTGTAAACCATGAAGGTAAGAGAGTACATGATTGTATTAATGCTAAATATCTGAAGAGGTATTATCCTGCCTTTTCAGATAACAAAACTGCCTGAAGCAAACTATTATTCAGAACCCATTTGTGGGGTTCGAACCTATTTAAAGGTTCATTTCTGTTAGTCATCATTTATTTGTGAGAAATTTTCTGCCTCTGAATCAGAATTTTCATCCCAGTGAGTGGATATTAGTTCTGGTTCTTCTTCAATAAGATCTTCCAAATCTGGTCGGTACCTCTCCCATTGGCTTTGCATTTCGTCTAAATCTTGATTGGTACGTGCTTGCATGTCTGTTATGGCTTGATATTCACGGTCAACAATGGTACGCAATCTTGAAAAGACTTTTCGTTGATTGGAAAAAATATTATCCCAACCAAGGTCTGGAAGTATGGTTGCTGCGTGATTTTCAATCAATTCCATGTGATGATGGAGGTCAGGAATGCGGCTAAGGATGTCATGAAGAGGTTCATATCCCTCAATGATTTTTTCCATTAGACGGATGACGCGATGAATGGTTCTTCTACCTCGTTGGGAGAATCGGAATTTGAAGTCTAGTTGCTTGAGTATATGTAACAAGTCTTCTGCATGGCCTCCAATAGGGTGATTACCTACAAAGAAGGGTTGAAGAACACCTTCCCAGTTGCTTGATGGGACGTGAGGTCGGTCATTCGCCATGTTTGTTAACACTTCAAGTGTTTTGGTTTTCAACATATGCCTTGGAATTTGGTGTTAACATTGTTCTTTTAAGGGAGGAGTTTGTTTCGGTTCCTCAAAAGTTGGAAATTGGACGGTGATCCTTGTTTTGAGAGAAGAAGGAAAAATATATTACTAAGTCAAATGTTGTTACAGAGGGGGAAGTATTACAAAAGTGCCCCTAGGGCAGTTTTTATATTTGTCCATTTGACTTCATCCCTGGATAGCCTTCTGGTATTAGCAGCCATCTGATATCTTCTGATGAATTGGGATCGAGCTTGGGTTTTTAGCTCTTGATCCAATTCGGCCTCGTTCTTTGTATACTTCTCAAGCAGACGCTGTTCATTGGTAATTTGATTATCCAGGATAGACTGTTCCTTCCTTAGCTCCCGCAATTCTGCCTCCTTTTTTCTGAATGGATTCATCAACTTGAGCCTTCGTCCTGAGCAGAGTCGGTTGAGGGCTAATCCCAAATGTTTTTCGGATATTGGCATAGTGGGCGGAGATCTTAAGTTGAACGCGTTGGGGAAGTAAAGACGGGACCAAAGTTCTAAAAACCAAAAAGGACCCGATGCGGCAGTGTCTAATTTTCTATTATCATTATCTGTTAAACGAAGGCTAACCCTGGTGAGTCCTTCAAACCGATTGGCTAAAAACAGGGTGCCAAGGGAAAAGAACCTACCTGACGCGATATGAATGGCCAGGTCGAGATGAGAAGAAAGAACGCATTTAGAAGGGGAAACAATGACGTACCTACAAAGCCAAAAAAGAATAAAGGCAGTATGCTCCCGGTCGGTCACGGGGGTCCCTGGAGCCCCTTGCTGGTCGGTCGCGAACTTTGTCCAGCCCCATTCCTTCACGCCTTGTAAAGACCACCCTGGATGGTCTTCTGGTGGCTCCTGCCCATCTAGGGCTCCCATCACAGGGTCTTCACCTACGACTAGGAGATGCGCGATCATTGCCACATCCATGAGAGTCGGACCAAAGGGGCTCGACGGTAAGAGAAAAGTCCCATTTTCCGCATTCCAGAAGGCAGACATGGCTAGGAGCACCTTCTCGTGCAGATTGATCGGCATGGTGGACAATAGTATTGCTTGGTCGATTTTTTGAGATCGCCATTGGGTCTGGAAGTGTTCTGCTACCCGTCGATACCAAGAGCGGTAAGGATCTTTTGGGTCTGTGAGATGGGTTTTGATGCTGTCTCGGATGCGAACTGCTTGGTAGTTAGGATTGTTGATAGCCAAGGAATTTCGGGATTCCAAAACTTCCCTCATCCGATTTGAGTCTTCAGGAGTAGTGCAGTATGGGCGGATCGTCGAAGTTAGTACTTTCGAGGCTGAAAACGGGCCCTCTGGGAGGGTTCCGTCGAAGGGAAGGGAAGGAATGTATCGATTCGCCATGGTTGGAGTGGTTGAGATTGTGATTCACAAAGGCTCGTATTGCGGACAAGGAAGTTACTCAGGAGTGTTGCAGTAACTGGTGCAGTTGCTAAGGGAATTTTTCAAGAGGGTGGTGATTTATGCACTTCCAAACATCGATTGATAAATGGCGTTTGAAAGTCCCTTGGCGGCGGGCAAGTTGTTATGTATGAAAATTAGAATTAGGTTAAAAAGCCCAAGGTAAAAAGAAGAATGGGCCTGGCAATAGAGTTGATTGCACTGGCTGAAGGACACCGTGAGGAAATCAAGGAAAATAGATTTATTTCTAAGGAAAATTCAGGACGGAAGGACCTCAGGTCTTCAGGTCGGAAGGTCCTCAAGACGGAAAGTCCTCAAAACGGAAAGACCTCAGGTCGGAAGGTCTTCAGGTCGGGGGGAAGTCCTCAAGACGGAAAGTCCTCAAGACGGAAAGACCTCAGGTCGGAAGGTCTTCAGGTCGGGGGGAAATCCTCAAGACGGAAAGTCATCAGGACGGGAAGTCCGCAGGTCGAGAGGCCCTCAGGACGAGAAGTCCGCAGGTCGGGAGGCCTTCAGGTCGGAAAGTCCTCAAGACGGAAAGACCTCAGGTCGGAAGGTCTTCAGGTCGGGGGGAAATCCTCAAGACGGAAAGTCATCAGGATGGGAAGTCCGCAGGTCGGGAGGCCCTCAGGACGGGAAGTCCGCAGGTCGGGAGGCCTTCAGGTCGGGAGGTCCTCAAGACGGAAAGTCATCAAGACGGGAAGTCCGCAGGTCGGGAGGTCCTCAGGACGGGAAGTCCGCAGGTCGGGAAGTTCTCAGGTCGGAACTCTGCGGCGGGACCAACAAGTCGGATGGTTTGTTAGTCGGGATGTCTGTAGCTAATCCAAACAAGTCAGATGGTTTGCAAGTCGGGAGGATTGGCAGTCGGACCAATACGGTTGTAGATTGGCAGTCGGACCAAAAGGGCGGAAGGTCTGTGGTCGGCTCAAAGAGTGAAATATAGGGATAATTTTGGTCTGCTGAGGACACGTGTCAGCAGGAGAAGGGTTGGAAGACGGTTGGGAAGGAGACGTTGTAACCGTTCGGGCGACGGTTTTCAGTACAGTTTCCCAGAAAATATTTAAGGGTTTGGATCATCATTTGGCAGGGTATCTTCAATCAACTTCAACAAAGCAAAGTCAGATTTGGGGATCACCACTTTAAATTTCAGTATTTTATTTTCCAGTTTATTTTCTGTACCATACAGTGTTTAGAGATTCCTAATCTCAGACACTAATTAATCAAGTTTAAGGATATTTTCTATATCTTTGAATTTTACTTTATTTTTGTTGAAAAATTACATCAACAAATATCATAACTAATTATTATTAACTAATTAAACATCCTTACCTTAAATACCGTGTCTCTAATCAAATGGTTCAATTCCGGTGAGATGGAGGAAGGATATTTTAATTTTTAAAATTATGTAAAATATAAAACAAATGAGATTTTAAATTACTATTTTTTAACAAAAAAATCTGTAAATTGTAAATTTTTTTTTTAAAAAAATTCCAACTAAATACATTATACATTTTTTTTTATTAAAATAAAATTAATTTAAAATATTATATCAACTACTCCCTCTGATTTATATGTAATATTATTTTTTTTTTTTTCGTTTGTCCTGTATTTATGTCAATTTTTTTTAAAAAAATATTGTATATTTTAATTATATTTTAAATTTTCAAATATATAATTTTCAGATTTTTAATTATATTAATTAATTATTTTAATTTATAATTTTTTATTATATTATAATAATTTTTATTAATAAAGTTTTAATTATTTATCAATTATATATTTTTTAAAATTCTTGTATCAACGAAAAAGTATATAATCATACTATTTAATTTATAACCTATTTTATTCTTTTGTTTTTGAAGATTTCTTAAACACAAAATATACCTTCTTTTGTAAAAGTGTACTTAAAAGAAAAAGAAATTATAAAAATGATAATTATATATTTTGATATTTTATTATAAGGTTGAAATTAATTTTTTATAAATAAATAAATTTAAATAAAAATTGCGAGTGACGATAGTATAAATAAAATAAAATAATAATAATAATATAATTAAAAAAAAAAGTGGGTAAATAATGAGGATATTACGCTAGGCCAAGCGATTATAAACTAGCGACTTTAACGGATAGTCTGACAATCAGCGGATCGAGTTCTGAGAACGGAATCGGAAGCAGCTGCCGGGAAATCGACGCCGGGGTGCCGTTCAACATCTGAACTGATTTATCCTCCGACAGAAAAGGTAAATTTACGAAGGTTGTCTTTTTGTAGCCTGTGGTTTGATGTTCGCATGCGTTTTTACGGTGCTAGGGTTTTTTTTTATTTTTCAATTAATCTCCGTCGGTTTTGCTTCTTGATTTGATTAAACTTCAAACGTACATCAGGTTAGGGTTCCGATTACCGGAAGGAATTTTTGTGGGCGAGTATAGTGTAGGTTTCGAGCTCTGATAGTCGGCAGCCATGTCTGTGACGGCGGGGGTTAGCGATACTGTGATAGCGATTAGGGATAAGCTTAGGGGTAAAATTGGGCAAACGAAGGTGAAAAGGTACTGGCCGGGAAAAGCACCGGAGTGGGCTGATGACAATGATGAGGAAGGGGATATTAGGATGGCGAGGGCAGCTGCTCTCGAGAAAGCGTTTCCAAGCCGTGAGGGTGCTGATGTTGTGAGGAAAGATGATCCTAGGCTGCGTCGTTTGGCGGAGAGTAGGATCGATAATCGTGACGAAGTGAGGGAAGATCACAGGCGAATAAGGCAGGCAGAGATTGTTTCGACTGAAGAGGAAGAAAGCAGGAGGATGGAAGGATTGGATTTGGAGGAGGAGGATGAGGATGCATTGGAGGAGAGGAGGAGGAGAATACGGGAGAAGTTGTTGCAGAGGCAGCAAGAGGAGGCATCCCTTTTACCGGAGGAGGAAGAAGAAGAGGAGGCGGAAGAGGAAGAGGAGGAGGAGTCTGAGTACGAGACTGATTCAGAAGAGGAAACGACGGGTATTGCAATGGTGAAGCCTGTTTTTGTGCCGAAGTCGGAGAGGGATACGATTGCTGAGCGCGAAAGGCTTGAGGCGGAAGAGAGAGCGCTCGAGGAAGCTGTGAAGAAGAGGATGGAGGAAAGGAGGAAAGAAACGAAAGAGATTGTGGTTGAGAAAATTAAGGAGGATCATGAGATTCAGAGGAGCATGGAGTTGGAGGCAAATATCGCCGATGTGGATACCGATGACGACATAAATGAGGCAGAAGAGTATGAAGCTTGGAAGGGTCGAGAAATTGCAAGAATCAAGAGGGATAGGGAGGACAGGGAGGCAATGCTAAAGGAGAAAGAGGAGATTGACCGAGTGAGAAACATGACAGAGGAAGAGAGGAGAGAGTGGGAGAGGAAGAACCCAAAGCCTTCTTCAGCCCCCAAGCAAAAATGGAGGTTTATGCAGAAGTACTACCATAAGGGTGCTTTCTTCCAGGATCAGCCTGACGATCGTACGGGCACTGCTGGCGCTGCTGAAATCTATACTCGTGACTTCTCTGCTCCCACTGGAGAGGATAAGATGGATAAGACCATCTTGCCGAAAGTTATGCAGGTTAAGCACTTTGGTCGCAGTGGAAGGACGAAATGGACTCATCTTGTCAATGAGGACACGACTGACTGGAATAACCCGTGAGTGCATTTTCTTCTTGTGCTACTTCACAGTCTGATTGCTGTTAAATTTCTGAACCTGATGCTTTAACAAGTGCATTATAACTAATTAGGATTGTGACATATAGACTACATCTAAACATCAGCTAGATTACAAACATTATTTATAGTTGCTAATTAATTGAATCTGTATGTTGTTATGACTTTATGCTTTGATATACGAATATGTAGCTTGATAAGACGCGGGCTGCCGTTGAAATAAAAACCTGGTTGTGTTTAGAGATATGTTTTAGAAGTGTCTTGGAGTTTTGGTAATAGTAAAAAGTTTCAAAAGTAGACTTTTGATATGACTTAAATTAAGTGTTAGGATGTTTTGTATAAGTTTTTGATGCAATATTTTAAACGAAATATAGGTATTTGATGTGATTTTCTTTTTTAATAAATTATTGTTGATGAATAATGTCAAAATTGATTATTCTTGGTTGATTATGTGATGCTTGGAGCTTATTGTTATATTTTCCTTTGCAAACTAATACTGGATATGACTAGCACGGATTTTCTACGTAGTATTGTGTGACACACTGCCCTTGTTTTGAGTTTTATTTTTTCTGGCATTTGCTATAATTGAAGCTCTATTTTGATCACACAACAGGCTAATAACAACTTCTTGTTTACGTAGGTGGACATATAACGATCCTCTTCGTGCCAAGTACAATCAGAAAATGGCTGGAATGAACACATCTTTAGAGAAACCTAAAGGCAGCAAGAAGCTGAAAGATTGGGAGAAACGTTAGAAGTCTTCGAATTTCCATTGCCGCCTGCAAATCTTTCATTCATCGTTCGACAGTCTACTCCGCCGCTGCTCAAAGTTACTTGAACTAAATTTAGGATCTTTGATGGCTTCATGTTGTATTCAGTACTCTTTCATTACTTGCTACACTTCTTTAAAAGCGTTATTACCCTCCCAAAAAATGACGTTCAAAAGTGCGACTTTAAGATTTGTTACAGTTCTTTAAAAGCGCTATTAGTCTCCTGAAATTTAAAAGCGCGACTTTAAGATTTATCTATGGCCGTTGGATCAGATCGCCTCTTGTGTTCTCTTATTTTCGGTGGTAAATAATAGTACAGTGCAAAAATGGTAATGATATATGTGAAGGTACAACCAAAGATTCGGAATCTGGATGAAATTGGCTAACCCTAACCCTAGCTCTGCAAATGTACAACCCTCTAATGCAGATACACAACTGCGAATAAAATAGTATAAAAACGTCGTCCGCTTGTTCGTCCCCTTCCGCCATCCATTCCCATCCCCTCCTCCGTCGAAACCCTTCTCTGAGGAACCTCAAACCCCATGGAACATCTCTCAAGATTTTTGTGATTTTCTTTGGGCTTAATCTTAATCTTCTCTGCGAGTCGATTTGTAGCCAAATTGATTCAATCCCTGCCGCAAAGACCGATCCATACGTTCAATCGGAGAAAGGGGGCAAATTGAGATATGGACTACGACCGGCAGCAGGAACAGGACGACGATGTTTACGGTGGCGACGTGCCGGAGGAAGCCTACATGGAATCCGATTTTGACTCATCTGTAGACGCGGATGCTGCGGCCGCCGCCGCGGCGGAGGCTGACGCCAAAGCTAAGGTATTCTATTGCCTTGTCTGGTTCCCTGTGTGTGTAGATTTATGCGCTTGTGTAGGTCTATACGGAGATGTGTTGAGATTTTGAGGCGTAGTGTTAATCCCAATTTAATTGGTTTATAATTATTAGGAGTTGGAGGAGATGAAGAAGCGATTGCAGGAGATTGAGCAGGAAGCTGGAGCACTTCGCGAAATGCAGGCGAAGGTCGAGAAAGAGATGAATGGGACTCAAGGTTTAACTTTTATCTCGATTGCATTTGTGAACCCTAATTTTGTGTCGGCTTAGGATTGAAGGTTTGGGTAGTTTATTTTTGTGATCTGCTATATCTACTTGAGGTTTTCCCATGGAGAAGGGTTTTTGATTGGCCTAGGATTTATAGATCCAAAGGGTAAACAATCTGATATTTGGTGGAGATTGATTGGAGATATATACCAAATGGATGCATTGGATGATTAATGTTTTAAGATACTTATCCTGAATGTTGATTGCATCCTAAAGTGTTTGTTTGTCATTGATTGTGAATCGGATAATCAATTGTCGTTATCTTGATTGAAAGTGTTTGTTTGTCATTGATTGAGAATCGGATAATCAATTGTTGCTATCTTGATCAAAAGTGTTTGTTTGTCGTTGTCGGGAATCAGATAATCATTTGTCGTTATCTTGATCGTTGCCTGATAAAATGTGACATTGATTGAAGTCTTTTTTAGAAGCCAATCAGATTTGTTATGGTTGCTTGTCGGAAGTGTTTGTTACCGTTAGATGCCTGATTAGGAAGAGTATCGAACTGAAAAGTTTTATTGGCAAATACCTTTTCTATTTTCTGATTAATTATCTGTGACGATAATGCATTTGACACGTGTTGAACGTGTTTGTGTGTGAAGTAAATACAGCTGTGGATATGTATGCAATTTAAGATACAGATGTGTGGAGTTCCAGTTATAAGCATTAATATTCTCGTAATGTTAAATATAGAAAATTGCTAAAAGTGATCGGCTATGTTGCATGCTTCATTAATGAGTCATGAAATTTCATTCTTTTCTTACTCTCTTATCGTCTAACTCTAATCTGGCTACTTTGCTTATAAACTTAGAAGGGACTTAGTTTGCAAGATTGTCTTTTGCTTTTTTCAGATGATTCGGGTGATACATCTGTTATTTTGGCTGAAAAGGAGGAGGTTGATTCTCGATCGATATATGTTGGTAATGTGAGTCTCTTTCCTGTTTCCTTATCTGATCTATTTCTTTCCATTGATTCTTGTTTATAGTTAAATGGTAAAAGATTATCTTATTCATTTTTTAAATGATAATTGGATCCTGTTAGCATATATGTTATGTTTCTTGTTTATAGAGTTTTATATATATACATGTATTCAATTAGCTTCTTCGGGAATTTTTAAATGCAGTAATCATTAATTAATTAATTGTGCAATTGGCATATATAATAATATACATGTCTTCTTGGCCCTAATCGATCAAGCTGTGTACAGGTTGATTATGCTTGCACGCCTGAGGAGGTGCAGCAACATTTTCAGTCGTGTGGGACTGTAAACAGGGTCACGATTCTGACCGATAAGTACGGACAACCCAAAGGGTTCGCTTATGTGGAGTTTGTGGAGGCTGAGGCTGTCCAGAATGCTACCCTGCTGAACGAGACTGAGCTGCACGGCCGGCAAATTAAGGTTCTTGACCGTTTTATCATCCTTGTCTGAAAACATAAATTATATGAATGTTTCTCTATGTCTTTGTTCTGACAGCAAAAGTCTCGTTGCAGGTATCTCCCAAGCGAACAAATATTCCGGGAATGAAGCAGTTTCGGGGTAGACGCCCGAATCCATATTATGGATTCAGAAGGCCCTTTATGCCTGCGCCCCCTCCGTACGGGTGAGTCTGTTACATAATTCATATTTATTTAAACGTAAACATGTGTTTATATATATATATATATAAATATATCAAGCTATAACGACACATTCATTGCATGTGCAGGAGGGTTCCTAGGTTCCGGCGTCCTATTAGATACCGGCCATATTGAATCGAATAGTCTTGGTCATCAGACAGCCTTTGATTGGTACCATGTTATTGCTATTGTTATGGTTGTAATTTTAGTTTAATTTTGATACAGAACAATATATGACATACATACATATGATAGGAAAAAAGAAAGGAGGAAACGTAACTGTGTTTGGATTCATGTTGTTGTTATTCTTATTCTGGTTTTGGGAACCTTCAAAGATCAATTGTTTTTGTGCTTATTGACTTATTTATTTAAGGTCTATTTTATGCAAGTTTTGGCCTCTATGCTTTTTTGAGTCATTTTCTTTGCAAGGATAGCCCAACATGTTAGGTTTTTTTTTTTTTTTTTTTTTTTTATATATTCTATAGAAAGGTTATTTTTCCTATATTCGTATTTTATATTTTCAATTCACATTTTTTTAATACAATGTTCTTTTGGTTAGCTCTTCTTGACTCTTATATAATATATTTTTCTACATTGGAGGTCTTTTTTTAGCTTCAAATGAATTCTTTTTAGTTGCAGTATGTTACATTGTGATATCTAGAAGTTGATATGATTTTAGTGAATCAGTTACACTATTCATATCAATAATTTTTTTATTTGATTATTTTTGGAAGTAGAATTCTAAAATTAAGTCTAATTTGTTCTAAAGTAAAATTATGGATAGGTGACTTCCTAGAATTTTTCTAAAATGTACAAGTAGGTAGAAAGAACATGTATTGATATGTGTAGTCTCTATGTCCAACTTGCTAGGGTTTGTCTGCTTAGAATTTTAAATATATATCACAATTATCTATCTGTACAGTTTTTAATTATATATATTTTTTCATAAAATATTATATTGACATCTAAATTTATTTTATTTTATTTTTATTATCATCTATTTTTATTTTTATTTTTTTTAAAAGTAAAAAATTACTATATTTTTCTATTTTTTTTACTTTTTAAAAGAAAAGGTTTTTATTTTCACTTATTTTTCTTAAGGCCGTATCCGATCAAATAAGCTCAATAGCATTTTTATTCAATTTCAAATACTATATGAACATGATGAAATAATCTATTTTCAGGTTAAGCAATGGTTAACCTTTGGTTTTGAACATATGATGTAACACATATTTATTGATTTTATTTTATTTATTCATGTTTCTATTTAAAGATAACCACATTATTAGCCTAATAATGAACTTTGGGCATTAATTATACGTGGAGTGTGTTGATATAAGGGTGTATGTTGTTACCACAGTGAGTTACTACAAAATTCTGCTAATAATATAAGATAATAATTTTATATAATTGCAATGAATGCTGTAATTAATTTTAATCCAATATATTCAAATAATATATCTATAAATAAAAGTACAGTATCTATGTCTCTGTATGCAATAATTCGGGCAAATAAATACCAACATAGTAACCATTCCTTTCCAATGATTTAATCACATATAATAGTAATAATAATAATAATAATAATAATAATAATAATAATAATAATAATAATGACGACAGTGGTATAAATGATGACAATAGCATAAATTCCTGGTGCGACAAGAATATGAATATGGAATATATGCCGTGAGCATAAATTCACAAATTCAATATTTTGCACAAATAAATGAAAATTATATATTATTAGGGAAATTACACTTATGATCTTGACCTTGTAAATGCATAAAATATTATATAATTTTATCAAATTTGTTGTATAAATTATGATTCTATTAGTTTATAGTATAAATTTGTATATTGTGTATGAAGTTCCTGACAAAATAAGGATTACATGTACATATATTACTTTTCTAATTTACTTATTAAAAAAAAATAAAAATCAACAAACATTGAAACTGATCTTAATGAATTTTCATTGAAATACTCAGATATTATGTACGGAGAATTATGAGGTATGAATTTATTATATTAATATATTTGTTTAGAAAGAGCTAACTTATTATAAATATTAATATAATATTTGAAAAAAATCAAGAGCATTGTCAATAATATATCCATTTAGCGTTTAAAAATTTGTTTTTATTTTAAATCGTAAATCAGTACCTTTTAGTCTATATAATATTTTTATTCATAAAATAACATTATTTAAATCAAATTAAATTTCAAATGAAATCCAAACAAACTTTAAAATTTTGACTAAATTATTATTTTTGCTACATTTATTTTTAATAAATTGATTTTCTTTTAGTTATTGGTTGGATCCCAAAAATCGACACCATACTTTCATTTTTAATTTAATTTTTTTTTTTTTTTAAAAAAAAAATCAAATGTTTAACTATATAATAGTATAGACATTGGCTAACCAAGCACACCCTTACTTTAATGCACGTGAAACATAGAGGGGCATAATGGGAAATTCGGAGGAGGAGGCGAAGTTGTAGGCGAGTGTGTGTGTAAGACTTAAGACTGAGCAAATGGTAATGGTAATGGAAATGGAAATGTTAATGGAAGGATCAGGAATCAGTATTTGATACGTTGGTTGGTTGGCTGCTTGCTTGAACTCCACCGAAACTCTCCATTGATGCTCCTCCTCCATTTGTATATCTACCCCATGCATTCTTCTCTATTCTAAGGCATGCACTGACACCGCAGCCATCGATTAATCTGCAGTTTTGGTTAATTTTATCATATCTATATGCGAATTGAGTTTGAGTGCATTGACTCTTGTTTCGCACTGTTGATTTGATTCTGATTTGGTTTTTGCTAGATTTGATTTGATTTGATTTGATTCAGCGTCGCCGCGTATTCGGTTTTCGTAAGGTAATCATGAATGCTCTAGCGGCGACGAATCGTAATTTTCGGAAAGCGGCTCGCATTCTCGGACTCGATGCCAGGCTTGAAAAGAGCCTCTTGATTCCTTTCAGAGAAATTAAGGTCGAATTCTCATTCTCTGCCTATGTATATATGTATACAGACGACGAACACGCACGCACGCACAGTGATTTGTTGTTTAATTTTGGAGTTTGATCGGAATTGGATTGTTGGAGGATTGAAACTTCTTTTGGAACGGCGGTTACGCGGAGGTTTTTGTAGACGGTTTTAATTTCTGTTGTGTTCTTAGATTTAGTGTGACGTTTTATCGAACAGGTGGAGTGCACAATTCCAAAGGACGATGGGACTCTGGCGTCGTACATTGGATTCAGAGTTCAACATGATAATGCTCGTGGCCCCATGAAAGGAGGCATTAGATTCCATCCTGAGGTATTATACATCGATCTCCTTATACATATACGTATATATCTGTATATGTTGATGTGTGTTATTGTTTTTGAGTTCTGAGGATTTTACAGAATCGTAAGATGAGTGATATATTTGTGGAGATTACTACTCTGTTTTTGTGATTCTTAGTAATGGTTGAGGTTCCATGGAGATAGATTAGTTTCCATTTTCAGTTCCATCGATAATTTGATATACTTCTTAATGCCTTTAAGAATCTTTGCTTATGCAAATGAATCCGTATCTCTCATATGTCATCAAGAAAATGTTTTTCTAATGTCAACACAAATCCTGGGAATCTTGTTTCTCAAGTTTTTGATGTGTTTTTTCATCGAATAAATCTGATATTCGGGAACAGATTCTTAAGCATAATAATCTTTGGCTTATCCAAATGAATCCCATCAACTCTCATATGTCATCAAGAATCTTTACAAATACTGAGAATATTGTTTATCAAGTTGTGATAGTGTCGAAAAACTCTGCTTTTGTTGTAAGATAAAGTTACTGTACTGTTTAACATTGTCATGGAGTGATTTTGGTTTGATTGCTACTTGAATTTGTATGATACATATATATATATATGTATATATTGTTCTGAGAAGTTGCTCGAATTTGTGTCGATAGGTTGATCCCGACGAGGTGAATGCTCTGGCTCAACTAATGACTTGGAAAACTGCAGTGGCCGATATTCCCTACGGCGGAGCCAAGGGTGGGATAGGGTGCAATCCGAGAGATCTGAGCAAAAGCGAACTGGAGCGTCTTACTCGCGTATTCACTCAAAAAATTCACGATCTTATAGGAATTAACGCTGATGTTCCGGCGCCAGACATGGGGACCAATGCTCAGGTGACGAAATTCATTCGAGCATTTTTTTTCATTCTAATGTTACGCCAACTATTTTCAGATGATCTAAAAGTCTAGTGATATGTTTGCGATGCAGACAATGGCTTGGATTTTGGACGAGTACTCGAAATTTCATGGCTACTCTCCTGCCGTTGTTACTGGAAAACCGATTGTAAGAAAAGTGGCAATCAGAACAAGAACTCGAAATGTTTATATATTTTGCGTATATATTTAATTTTTATTTTGTTCTAGGATCTCGGTGGTTCGTTGGGAAGGGAGGCTGCAACAGGGCGCGGCGTTGTGTACGCTACAGAAGCATTGCTAGCCGAACATGGAAAGTCAATAAAAGGTTTAACATTTGCCATTCAGGTATTATTTAGGTTGTCCCAAGGCATTCGATCGTGAGCTCGTTTCTTAAAATTTCTCTATCATGTTTTATGTTCAAATATTGTTTTTTGGTTTGATTGATACCCTAGGGGTTTGGGAACGTCGGATCTTGGGCTGCAAGGCTTTTACATGAACAAGGTGGGAAGGTCATCGCCGTGAGCGATATAACTGGAGCTGTGAAGAATCCAAACGGTATTGATATTCCGGCATTGCTTCAGCACATAGATGCCACAGGAAAACTTGCTGATTTTAATGGCGCGGACGCCATGGATGCTAATGAACTGCTCACTCACAAATGTGATGTTCTAATACCTTGTGCTTTAGGAGGAGTTCTCAACAGGTTTAAACGTGTTCGATCTTATCAAAATTTGGTTTGCTCGCTCGCTTGTACTAACGTCTTGCGATTCTTTTACGTCTCTTGAAGAGAAAATGCTGGAGATGTGAAGGCCAAGTATATCATTGAAGCTGCGAACCATCCTACTGACCCGGAAGCTGATGAAGTGCTAAGATACATTTAGTTTCATTTCTTATAAAGTTCAACTACGATTAAATTCAACTCAATTAACACTATGATCTTCTTCAACAGATTCTATCGAAGAAAGGGGTTATAATCCTTCCGGACATTTATGCGAATGCGGGAGGCGTCACTGTCAGCTACTTCGAGTGGGTTCAGGTAAAGAAACATACTCTCACATTCTTTGTCGGAAATGATTAAACAACACAAATCGCTGATTTCGAAATTTGTGGTAGAACATTCAAGGATTCTTGTGGGACGAAGATAAGGTGAACGAAGAACTTAACAGATACATGACGAAAGCCTTCCACAACATCAAGAACTTATGCAAAACACACGACTGTGATCTTCGTATGGGTGCGTTTACATTGGGTGTGAACCGTGTTGCACGTGCCACTGTGCTTCGAGGCTGGGAGGCTTAAAATGATCATCTCTCCCGAATATTAAGCTTACCTATGAAACACTACATATTTATTTGTTACGCGTCTTCCTAAGGCAATCTGTAAGTCAGTAGGGGCTTGTGGTTGGTTTGAAGTTTTCTTGCTTAGGATTTGAAAGTTATTAAGTGTGTTTGTTCCACTTGTCTGCTCATTGAATGAATATCTATCTATTCATCTTCTCCACATGGTATAAATATTGAATGGGATTAACTTGTACAAATTGATTATATGCATATAAACACAGACATGCACTTAATGTGTACAGAGTATTTTGCAAACCCAAATTCGCAATAAAAAACCGGAAAGCCAAACAAAAACCAGCAAAATCAATCTATTGAACTTTTACTCTTCCCTCTCCACTATGCACTTAAAATTTAACTAATATGCACTTAAAATTTAACAAAATCAATTACAAAAACCACAACTTAAATTTAAGTAAAAATTTAAACTTGGTTGTAGAGGCCTTCCAAGAACTGAAAGGACCCCTCCAAAAATAGGTGTATGCTACTTATATGCAGCAAGCACACGGTATTCTTTAGTAAAAGGCGAAAGAATAGTTCGCTATGTGCTTACAGCGCAGCTCCATGGAGTTACAAAGTAAGTCTTCGCACCATAATATAGAAGAGAGGGCATCACTCAATAGACTGTGCATCCGATGTGGGACAATTAATGATATAACTAATGTTAACAGCCCAATACACTGTACCTCTCCGATGTGGGATAATAGCTGATATAACTAAAAACATTTGCACGCCTCTCCATTTTCAATATTTAACAACATTTCCACTTATTCCCCATACGTCAATTACCATTTATTATACCTTCATGAATAACTCATTAGGAAAAGCCATCAAACAGACCCACACACTGCAAACAGACCCACAAACTGCAGACTACGATTGGTAGGGGCCGCGCGAACGCAGGCCCCCGCTGCCACAAATTATGACGTAGGCTCGACCACTTTGGGCCGACCTTAGGCGGGTGCCCCTCCCAAGTGCAATGGAGGTCACCAACCTAGGCCATGGACCTTATTGATCGCCCATCGACCCCGTCCAGGTAAGTATGTTTCTCTGTCCCCTTCCTTCTCATTATATACTTGGCTTCCTGCTTGTATCTGTTTCCACTCCCGATGTGGGATATCATAACTCTTCAAGTCTCCAGCGCTTAGGGAGACTCTATTTATTTATTCGGTGGTTGCTTCTATTTGTTTATTCGGTGGTTACTGTTTATTTAACTTGTATTTTATACTAAAAAATATTTTATTTATAAATCAAAATTATTAAATAAGTTAAATTAAAATATAAACATATATATATATATATATCAAAATACAAACAAGAGCCTTATGATGTTCCCCTATGTTATGAGTAACAAATTTAATTTGGTGCTGGAATTTTTTCGAACATATTTACATTGAAACATAGCCATTTTGCTTTATATGATCATTGTGCCAAATGCAATACTCGTTAAAATTAAAAAGTTTGGAATTAAGAGTAAGAAACAATTAAAATAAAAAGCATAGAAAACAAACAAATTTGTCCATAATTATTGAGTGAACACACTGAAATCAAATTCGGATTTGGGACTGTTCTTGGCTGAAGTTTAAACTCATATTTATTCCAGCGACTACACTCGTCGTCATCGAATGATTACGATAATAAACGAGGATTTCTAACCAGAACAACCGTTGCACTTGCACGGACAACAATTGTATTTGTAGCCATAACAATGGCCGACAAATTTATGACCAAGAGACCGGCCACAAACTGCGCCGGGAACAGTATACATATATATACATACAGAATACAAATAGCAGAGTGCTTTCCTTCCCTTCACATCTTCGATCGAGCAAAAGGTTTGAATTTTAGTCAAAGGGGTCGATCCGTGGATCATGCTCGCTTGCCATAGCCATTCCCGTGCAAAGACAAGTTGGGCACATAACCTGCATTCAAGGACTCATCCTTATTCCCGGGAATAACTTGATGTAATAACAGTCGACACCACACGATTCGTAATAAAAAACTTTTATGTTCATAGTTGATTTGTAAATGTACAGCTGAGATTTTAGGAGCATACCTTTCCGGAACCCGAACAAGTAGAGCACCTCTCGGTTTTAGGTGGAAGCAAGGGCAAATTGGCAGCATTTGAAGTCGAGACTGGCTCGATGAGAACAAGAGATCCGGTGCTTGAACACCGAGCACAAGCAAGATATCCTAAGTATTTGAAGAAAATTTAATAGTAAGCAATTATAATTGATATTAGAAGAATTAGTTTCATGTTCGATGTGCTAGTTTACATTTAACATATATTGGATCTTTCAACAATGCAAAATTACCTGTACCAATACAGTACTTGCATTTCTTATGCTCCTGCTGCTTGACATTGTTCAGCTCAACCACCATCAAGGCTGTTATTATGCCAACTGCTCCTCCGGAGAACGAGGCCACAATAGGATCGACTTGACTGTATAGTTCGTAAACTTACTTTATCAGAAAGGATATGCAAAAATAACGCGGCAATGTTTCTTGCACACAGGTCCCATATTCTAGAAGCATACCTTAATTGCATCGGGAGATGCATGCTGCGAATAAAATCAGCATATGACGTCCCTCCTAATCCGAGTTTTAGCTCCAGCTAATGTAAGAGAAAGATGTGCAATGGATACGGTTATAACTATTGGAGAAAAGAATTGGGAAATCCCATTATGACCTAGAATTTACGAAGATTTTATTTTACTTCCCTTGCCCTTTTAAAAGGTACCTACCTAACAAACACAAACCCCTTCTTTTTTATTACTTTTTAAGTTTTCAATTTTATTTACTTACTATAAGCACGCATATATAATGATACATCGATTTTATAAGACTTTGTTAAAGTATCAGGTTCAAAAAATTAGTAGACATTCACATTATTTTCTATTTTAAAGTCGTGGTAATGTCAAACTGCACCTACGTTACTCATTATAATCATAGAGAACACATTGTTAAACAGATTATTGGCTAAGGTGGTTCTTATCCTTAACCAAAAGAAAGGGAATTGAATATAAAATCACAGTTTTCTTCTGCAACTATGTGTTGCATCAGTGATTAGCAAATATATGTGCACGCTATAGTCAATTTAATGTATACCTTAGATCAAACGAACAATATCCTTTAACAATACGGGGATGAACTGAAAATTCCATATTACTATAATACAGTGAAACATAAAGGCCAAATGAGCAAAGCGACTGTAAGGAAAGAGACATACATATTGTCAACCATTTGCACGTATATTTTCTTTCCATAGTTGAGTATATGTTGGCCAAAAAAATGTTGCACCCAAGCATTCATCATTTCTCAACACAAAATCGAGAACTTACAGTGGGAGCTATTAGTCCACCAAAAAGCATGATTCCAGCCATAAGTGCAAAACATGTAGCATAGTATCTCTTAAGGTTTGATTTATTCTGCAAGAAATGGAGTAAGGTATAAAGTGTCGATGACATAATTAAACAACAGGCTACACGTAGCGAAAGAATGAGGGTACCAAAGGAGGCAAAAATGGAATAGAGGAAGGGAATTCAGGAAGCTCATTTTCTTGTTCTTCTTTTGATATCCTAAGCTCAGCACTTTTGATTCTTTGTTGTATTCTGAGCCTCCGAACCTGTAAAAGTTTTCAGAAATCTAGAATAACTATGGCACTTGTATTGGAAATGTAAAGCTGCATATCTCTAAGTCTTATAATTTAAATGCAAAACACATATGAACTCGATGAAGGTATAACTAGTTATTGAAAGGACACTAGAGACCATTCATGGTTGCAAAGGGAAAGAGCTACAAATCAATCTGCCTTAAGAAGAACCAACAGCGTATTTAGCAGTTGCAAGGTAATTTATTCAACATGATTTCAACACAAGTTATAACTCTAGTATCAAAGTCAATTCTCTAATGGTTTTGACATGCAACAAGGAGAAAAAGGTACTGACTGACCTCCTCCATCTGCAGGAAGATTTTATTCCGACGGCTTCGGATGTTCTCCTGAATTTCCTGCAGCTCCATCGACGCAAAATCTTGCACGGTCTCCGGTCCTTCAATTATACAAAATCTGCATCCAATCCACCACCAGAAAGCGGAGAAACTTCAGAAAATCACACCGAAAGATACTCGTATCATAAGTATAAAGACTTACCCTACGGAATTTCTCCCGGCGGATGAATCCGAATTAACAGAAGCGGAAAAAACAGATGCGTCGTCGTCCGCACCGATGAGTCTCCATCTCGGACTGGACGTGAGGTTGCTCCAAGGAAAGCATCTGGTGTGAGATAGAGCAAACGGCGCCGACGCGTGGGGAAGCGTCAAAATCCGGCCGGAGCAGAGCATCTTCCAAGCTGAATTGAGAATCAGCGGCGGTTGCCGGCGACACTACACGCATTTCAGTATTATTACTATAATTACAATTAAATCCATGGGTACAATTATATTTACACAATGACCCTCTACTTTCTTACAAATGGCCAAATCGACCCACGTAGTTCCCATAGGCCCATTAAAGCAAAGACCAATAAGAATCGATCTTTCCAAATTGGGCTGACCCGATTATGTTAGGCCTATAGACCCAAATATGAACAAATTTGGGTCCGAATTAGGAGCCGAGGCCCACTAGTATAACCCATATAAATAGGAGTGTAAACCCTAGATGAGTTGCTTTATATAATAGTTCATCAGGTTAAAGTGATTCTCCATTAAAAGCTGCTGCGTCTTCCTCGTTGCAGATTTTCCATGTTCTTCATTTCGTTTGGATTTTCTTCACGTTTGTGAGATTTTAGGAGCTTTGTAGTGTTAGTGGTAGTATTTGTTATTGTTGCTGTTGTTATGGTTTTGTTTTTGGAAATTGGAATCAGGAGAGGGGAGAATCGCAGTGACGACTCCGAAAATTCAAGCTCAACAGACCGGATTGCAGGTCGGTCTCTATACGGGGATCGTTATTTGCATGTCGATAACCCCGCTGAACTGAGCGATTTTCTCCTCTTGTCATTCAAATCGCGATTCACGTTTATGATTTCATCTTTTTTTTTTTTATTTAATCGTGTATGGATTTTTGTGTTTTCTCAATGCTGTTATGGCTTCTTGTGTTGGGGAATTGTTTTGTCGATGAGGATATATAAGCTCCCTCTTCTGAAATTCAAAGTTGAGGACGATTTGCTGGCAGAATCGAACCAATTTAACAATTGCCACCACTGAGTCAATTCATTTCCCCTAAACATCTCATTTTTATTTAAGTTTCTACAAATTTATTCTAGTTTTGATGTTTTGAAATTATGTTTTGGTCACTGCATTGATGAGGATGAAGCAACATTATGTATTTCCAACACTTGGACTGAGAGTGTTGAGATCTCATCTCATCTCCGTTGATGCAACAAAATTTGCTACTGAATCATGCGGTTTACCAGCATATGGTACATCCGTCCGTTAGATTTGATTTTCTATTTGTTTGGAAAACATATATCATCATCCATGATTTGAATTATACTCTAATATTCTTCAAATAAGGTCATCAAATGATGAGTAAATTCATCAATCTTAGGACACCTTTGGACACAGCCTTCGCGGTTGTGAATGAAAACAACCTTTATTCTGATGATGATCTTATTCAATCAAATTTAGAGCACATGAATAACACTACAAAATTTAGAAATATCACGAACTCTATTTACTTCAGCACCTGTTATTGATTTTGCATATTTTACCCGTAGCATCTAATAGGATCGTTGCATCCTTTCTCAGCCGATTGCCTGAAGCCAAACCTTCCTCCTTTAGCCAGGTACTGCTGATGATATTCCTCTGCCCTATAAAATTTCTTCGCAGGCAAAATCTCCGTAACAATTTTCCTACCTAAAACCTTCTCTTGCTTTTCCTTCGATTCCAATGCTGCCTTTTCCTGCTCAGGCGTGTAGAAGTAAATTCCAGATCTGTATTGCGTCCCCACGTCGTTCCCCTTTTACACAAAAAAACATCAAATCGAAGAATTGATTCGAATTAACTTGATTTGATTCATTTTTTTGCAGCAAACCTGGCGATTCGGAGTGGTCGGGTCGTGGTTGGCCCAGAAAACATCGAGCAGATTGTCGTAGCCGCACTCCTTCGGGTCGTACTGAACCCTTACCACTTCGGAGTGGTTTGTCCCGCCGGAGCAGATGTCCTCGTACGTCGGATTATGCAAGTTGCCCTGAGTGTAGCCGACCTCCGTCGTGGTGACTCCGGGAACGCGCTGGAAGGCCAATTCGACGCCCCAGAAGCATCCTGCCCCAAATTGGGCGAACTCGTTGCCTGGCCTCGGAGTATCGTCGTCGGGGCCCTGGGCGATTGCCGATGAGGAGTCCACCGGGGTTCCGGTGGAGGCGGGGGCACGGAACCCTAGCTTTTCGAGCCAATTCATTCTCGGCGACGTGAAGGCGCCGGCGGTGATTCCGGTGCGCTTTACGGCGGCGGTGCGGCGGAGTGGTAGTTTCGTTATGAGTGAGGGTTTTGTGCAGGCGGAGGATATGAATAGTGCGGTGGGGAAGGCTGCAGCGGCGTTCATAGCCATTTCTGCGGGAGATAATGGGGTAGGATCTCTTATTTGGATTGGTGTTGGGAGATTGCCTGTTTTCTAGAAGGATGTATGATTTTTATATTTTTAAAATAAGAAAATGGAAATTTTAGATTTAGGTCCAAAATAATGAAAGTTAACTATAATTGATATAGAATTGAGAATATATATTGTCAGGCCCAATACAAATATGAGTTGATATGGGGTTGGAGTTAACCAACTATGGTGGTGAAAGGCATGGGCTTTGTTTCCTTAGATTTATTTGGTAATTGGATCTTTTTGACACCAAACGCCGTCCGATTTATTTGATAATCATAATAATGTAATGTATGTTTATTTAAGGTATGTTAATTAGAAACAATATGCTGATCGTCTGTTATTGGTAATGATAAATCAATTGAAGTAATACTATTACATATTTGTTTGAAAAACATTAGGTCATTATATTAAGTTTTATGTGAATATGTTATGAAAAAAAATGAATATACTGAAGTAGTTAAAAAGAAATTTAAAGTATGTTTAATTATTTTCAAATTTACTATTTTAATAAACTACTATTAGATAAAAATACCAATTTTGTTTAATTTAAAAGTAAATATTTATCACTAAGCACTTCTTCCATATATAGAGCAAAAATAATATTACAACAAAATATTAACAAATAGCACAAATTTTTTTATGATTGGATACATTTCGCGCTAAGCTAAAAGCACTGCTTCCATTTATCAAGGAGTACTGAACACTGTTTCCATTAACATAAAGCCTTAGCTCAGTTGAACACTGATTTGGGTTGTTTCATTTGCTTATGTTTATTTATTCATTTATTTACTTTTGTTTGTCTGCGAATTAGGAAGATAAAAACATATATATATATATATCAACTATATTAGTTAGATGATAAAATTTTGAGAAACAATGTTACAGAAGAGAAAGAGAAATACGAATAGAGGAAAAAGAAGATAATAAAAACTATTTATGTACCCTCCAATTTAATGTTAATCATTAGATTAAAATATAATTTAATGGATAATAATTAATCAGGATCTTCCTGATCCCTTAATCAACAAGGTAACGGCCGCCCGATTAAATGTATAAATTATTTATATTAAACACCTCTATATATTCATAATTTTATTATTCTATTTTAATTAATTATAATCAATTTATTACTATTTTTTATATTATTAAATTTATATCAAAATTTTAATATATATATTTTTGTAATATCCTATTTTATTTTTTTATATATCTGAATTTTATATTAAAATATCATTTACTATATGTCCAAATAAAAATGCATAAATTTCCTCAACAGAGAAGAAAAGTTAGTAGGAGAACGAAAACATGAAATATCTATTGAAATTTAAAAAATCATCACTATTAAGCTCCTATTATTACTAATAAAAATGTACTGCTATTTATTTTATAAAACATAATTTAAAATATTATTTAAATTAAATATCAAATCAAATCCTCAATTTCTAACTAATATCAAACAAACCAAAAATATTGTGTTTTTTTTTTTTAAAAAAAATACTTATAAACAAATAAAAGAATGGATTAAAAGTTTAAACATGTGTAGAAATAACCATGATTTCATGCAAAGTTTCAGACATTTCTATTTATAGGGAGGTTTTGAATATATCCTCACCATTAAAATTAATCAGAAATTAATTTATTGATTAATTAGGGAATTGAGAGTGTAATTAATTAATTTTATCGTGCCCACTCGTCCGTACTGATCGACGCTCTGTATGTATACATATATATATATTACTTATAATATATGGAAGGAATGTTTAACTCATGTTTGGCAGTGCTCTGTTACATTTGTTGCAGCAGAGAATAGCAGCGTTGTCGTCGGCTCCTCCGACGCCGTTTTCGTGACGCGAACGATCTCCGCACGTCGGGAGGAGGACGTTCCGGCTACACACTCGTCGTATTCAATCATGACGCCCGAATAGTAAGCATCTCCTCACTTTACCTGGCGAAAGGATGAAATTAGTATGGAAAACAGGAAGATTTTAGAAGTAATGAAATTTAGGTTTTGTGTTGATAAATCGCTGCTTGTAGAATTTGTTGATTGTGTTTAATTTTAGTCTACTGGAACGTTAGATCCATGGATATAGTGTTTTCGGTCCTGCGTCTTTTGTTATCGTTTCGTTGGAATTGTTTCGGTGATCGTTTAACTGTGATTTATCGAATTGTTGAGACCTAATTTTGTTCTCTTATCGATTTATTATGGCTAGAAGGATGTGAGATGTTTCTTCATTTTAACTATGAATGAATGTGTGGGGAATCTACGTGAATGGTGGAATCAAACTGGTTGCAGAATGATTTCTTATGTTTATGCTTTTAGCTACTGGTTTTCTTTGTTATGTGGAAGACTGTAGATGTTGGTTCATCTGATTGTGAATTGTGTTCGCGCAGTAGTGCTTGTGTGATTGTTTTGTTTCCTCTGTAAAGAACTGAAGCTTATCCAGAGAATGAATGTGCACTAGGCCTGTTGATAACTCCATGGACAATGAAGGAACTTAAGTTGCCATTAGACTAATCATTTCCAAATTTCACATAGATGAATAGGAAGAAAATTGTGTAGAAGTTTGAACGCTCTGTCTATGAGCTAGTTCATCTGAAGCTGCACAGATTACAGAGCACCTGAAAAGCTCTTTATATGTGATAATTGATATTTACAGCTCTTTATTTGAATGATGTAGTGTAACTCGTTTGATATTCTGGTGGTTTAATTCTCAGTGACTACCTCTTCAAACTACTCCTAATTGGAGATTCAGGTGTAGGCAAGTCATGTCTTCTTCTAAGATTTGCTGTAAGCCTCTAATCATTGCTTCACCATTGTTGTTTGGAAATAATATTACATACATACACACTGATAATCCCCAACTTTATTACATAATGGAAATGATACATAAGTTTTTCGAAGATTGTTACATTCTGAAACTAATATTACTGATTGCATCAATTTATCTAATGATAGTTGCATTTATTTCTGAGGCATCGAATGGCTGATCTTTGTTGTTCTGCGGCTTGCAGGATGATACATATCTTGATAGTTACATCAGCACAATCGGTGTCGACTTTGTAAGGCATAGGTTGTTGGTTTTTAAGTGTTACTTGGCAAAAGCACTATCTCACAGCTATGAGTTTTCACCATATTCTTAATTTTGTAGAAAATTCGAACTGTGGAACAGGATGGAAAGACTATCAAACTCCAAATTGTAAGTTCTTTTTAACTTGAATCAACTATATTCAGAAATCTGTTGATTTCTTGACACCCTTTGTGGGTATATGTTTCACTCCCAATTATCTCGGAAACTTGTAGTGGGATACCGCTGGACAAGAAAGATTCAGAACTATAACTAGTAGCTACTACCGCGGGGCGCACGGCATTATAGTAAGTTTGTGCAATGCCTATCTACCTTATCTTCAAGATGTTATGCAACACTTATTATTGATTAAATAACATCCTATCCTTAACATGGTTGCAACAATTTGTTAGATAGTGTACGATGTAGCCGACAATGACAGCTTTAAAAATGTGAAACAATGGCTGAATGAAATTGATCGATATGCTAGCGACAATGTAAACAAGCTTCTTGTGGGAAACAAGTGTGACCTCACTGATAGCAGGGTCGTGTCTTTCGACACAGCAAAGGTAATAACACATATATATGTCTATATATATATATTACCCTGCTTAGATGTTTTTTTTTTTTCTAAAATTTTGGATTTGAAGAGTTACTGTCGATGAATGATGTTAAAATTTTTAAAAGTGCCTTTTCTTTTTTTAACAAATGTGTATTATTTATGGTTCGGTTTATGTGGAAAAAGGAATTTGCGGACGAGCTTGGCATTCCATTCATGGAGACCAGTGCGAAAAATGCGACGAACGTCGAGCAAGCTTTCATGGCCATGTCTGCCGACATTAAGAAAAGGCACGACGCCGTTCACTTAATATTTCCTCTGTCGTCCAAATTTATTATCACTTTCTTTCTTTGGTTATCATCTAAATTTATTGTCGTTTCTTTTTAATAAAAAAATACCACTTTTCTATTTTTTCTTTACCTTTAAAAAAAATATTTTTATTTTTATATATTTTTCTTAAATGCGTGCTCAATCAAATAAATATACATTTTGATAACGGATGCTCTCTGTTGTTATACTTTACAAAAATGCCGTGTTACTAATTGCAGGATGGCGAATCAACCAACACCGAATAGCGCAAGGCCGGCTTCTGTGCAGCTCCGGGGACAACCTGTCCAGCAAAAGAGCGGCAGCTGTTGCTCTACTTAGATTTCGACGAACATTTTCGGTACATTAGCTCCCCTTAAATTCTTGAATGCTAAGCTAAGTAGGAATAAGTCTTTTTATTTGGAAGTAGCTAAAGATTAATTTACACAACGTAACAACATGATATGATTGACTAAAACGTTCAATTTGTGTTAGAATTAATTGAATACGGTGAGATCGAAAGTTACACATGCAGGTGAAATGAATTTACCTCATCAACTTGGTCTTTTATAAATGTGTAAAAGTGCAGCAGCACACATGCAGAAGTTGATTCTCTTTTATTTTATTGTGTTTTTTTATGATAGTGAGGACAAAGATTTTATTGTTATATTCTATATTTTATTGTGTCTTACGTGTGATTGTGTGTAATGTTTCTTACTTACCACTATGTGCGTGTACATACATATAAAAAAATATATTGGAGTGTCGATTTTATTGAGAATAGTAATCTTGAGGAAATTTCGTGGTAATTGTACGGATATTAACAATTAGGAAATGGTTAGTGCGGTAATTAGAGTTACTGACCATTTTAATCGGTACACGATAATCATAAAATAGTACTTAGTTGGAATTAAAATAATACTTCCTCGGTCATTTTATAATATAGAATTTTTTATTTTTTTTATGAAATTTAATAAACTTGTATTTTAATAATAATGGGTGATAGTTTTATATATAAAAATTATTTTACTCTTTTGATAATATATAATTATTGTGAGTGTATTAATGTAAATAAATATAAATAGGAGGATATTTATAATATATAATTAAGTCTATGTTCACTATAAAAAAGATAAAATTGATATATTTTTGTTTGGACAACAAAAGAATAGCAAAAATTTACTTACCAAATGGATGGAATGATTATGTGATATATATTCTACTACCATGTAATGTCCATTTATATAATGCGTTTATCTATCTGTTATGTTATCATATAAGTTTATGTTGAAATCAATTAATCATGTGCTATACGTTAAACTAATTAGATTGGACTTGAGTTTATTACCTCTAATCAACATTCTAATTTTGCACCTTTTACTATTGATTTTTATATATTTTTATTTAAATATTAGGTTTGATGTGATTTTTTAATTTTTTAAGAATAGTACTATATTTTATTAATGCCATGAGAATTTTAGAATAGAAAATTCTAAACAAACAAAAATACGTGCTCTAAAAAGTAACTATTTAAAATGTATGTAACGATATGTTAATATTAAGAAAGTAACACAATGAACATATATATGAACAATAATTAAGTGATGACAATAATTGAATGGTAAAAAGAAGAGTTACTGTTTTCATATTAATTAGGATGACAATAATTGAACGGTAAAACGAAGAGTTACTATAAGGTGTTTTCATGTTGATTAGAGATGACAATGAATTAGGTCTAGTTGATCTCGAAATTCGATCCAAATACATATTGTTGAACTCAAAATTCATATTGAATTTTTGATTTTGGATTTGAATATATCCAAATTTGAATTATACTCAACAAAACTTATCCAACAAATTCGAAAAAATTTTACAAGTCTTAAATAATAATATAAAATTAGACCAGGACCTCCGATATTAAAATTTATACAATTTGTAAAAAATATTATAATAAAATAATAAAAAGTAAATAAATGAAACTCAAAAAAATACTTTTAATATAATTTAGATTGTTATGAATTATTTTTTATATATTGATATTTTATTAATACCTAAGGGTGTGTTTGTTTGGGGGTTTGGATTTTGGATTGAGATTTGAATAGTAAAAATTTTGAATTTGAATAGTTGTATGATGTGATATAAACAGGTGTTGATGTTATGTTTTGAATGTAAAATTGATTTTTAGTAAAATATAAAAAATGAAAAATAAGTGTTTGATTTAATGTTTTGGGAGGGGGGGAGGGGGGAATTTTGGATGAATAGTAGGATTTTGTCACAAACGAACACACCCTAATAGGAGCTGGGTCGGATCCTAATAAACCTCACCCTTAGACTTGAGACTCGACTCGGATCCGATAAGGATATACAATATCCGACTCATACCCGAACAATTAAATCCGACTCAAATAAATAGTTGTATCTCGGGTCTACTCAGACTCAGTGTGATCTCTAATATTTTATCTATCCCATTGAAATGTTGTAGTTTACTTTTTGCATGTAGATTTTTAAATATTAATATTATATTGGATTATAGTAAAGAAGACAAAAATAACTCTATTAATATTGTATAATACAAAAGTAATTATATTTGTATAATATATTGTAAACATGAAGAATATTTATTATCTTAGTTATGTAGTATAATTACTAAATTAAAATATAATATTATTATTTTAGCACAGACGAAAATGAAAAATGACGACCTCTCGGGATGGAAAAACTATAATCATTATATAAGAATCATACTATAGGTACGGCCATAAAATTCAACATAATGCTAATTTTCTTCTTTCAACACATAGTAATCCGTCCGTTTTAAAATTTATACAAGACTTACAATTATCTTAATTAAATATAATGTCGATCCACGTATAAAATCAACAAATAAGATATAATATATATATATTAATTATATATTGGTGATATATTTGTTTAATCGATAATAATGAATTAAATCTGACATAGATTATAAAAATCATAATGAATCCGATTTAGTCCATTTAGCCAAAGTAGACTAAGCAGGAGAAAATTTTTAAGCCATGCATATATATAAAGTATCTATATACTTATGTCAGTATGTGTAATGTCTGTACAAATGCAACGCACCCACGGCAGCAAATTTATTAGTCACTTTTTGACCTTCATCAATTAAAAGTTGGAATTAGTGTGTTTGTTTGAGGAATTTTGTGGGATTTTTATTATTTCTACAAAATTTTTTCTCGAAAACCATCAAATTAAATATTTATTTTTTACTTTTTATATTATACTAAAAATCAATTTTACATTCAAAATATCACATCAATTTTTATTTATATCACATCATACAACTATTCAAATTCAAAATTTTTACTATTCAAATTCCAACCCAAAATCTAAACCCTCATTTTCTAATTTTTTTTATTATTAATCAATATATATATATATATTAAATATCATATCAAATGCGTTTTTCTAATAGAACCCAAATAATTTTTAAACATAACCTACTTGTAATTTTATATTTTCATCTCTTGTAAAATATAAAGAAATACATATTTATACGTGTTCAAAATTCTTTATTTATTATAAACCAATTAATGTTAATTGTATATAAATATTTTTATGTATAAAAAATTAAAGACATATATATTGAATATATTTTCTTGAATTATTAGTTTTTAAAATATTATACTATCTTCGTCTCAATAAAAATGCATGTATTCTTTTTTATAATTGATTAAGAAATAAAAATATTTTATTTATTAGTTGAAGTGTATAAGATGATTTTAATATTTTTTTTTATCATTATAAGTACAAAAGAAATTGATATGTTTGTAAAAATTATAGAATTTTAGTATTTGTATGAATTATTTTTATTATAATATGGAGTAAATACTTTTTTAGTTAATTTTAAATCAAATTACTCAAGAGTAAGGATTTATTAATTCACTTTATATTTATAAATTATATATTATCATATTATGTATGAAAATTTATGTTCGTAATATAAAAAATAATATTTTATATTAAATTGTTGATTTTTGTGATGAATTATTGATTTTTGTGAATGGATAAAATATATAATATATTATATATATTGTGTTTTTCTTTTTTTTTTTCAGAATATTATATATATATACATATTATATTTTAAATTTGAATAATACTTATAGAATCGTATCATCTAAAAACACCAAATAAACAAAGGCTAATTTCCATCCAAAATTTTCAGTTTACAATCAAATACAAGTGGATTATTACATTCTTAAACAAATGCACGTGCTAGAATTCGTTCATTTATAATCAAGGGATGATGTTGAAATTTAATGCACTTTTATTACTTGATGGGTTTTTAAAAATCTAATGATGATCACACACACACATATATATATATATATATTATATCGTATTTGAATGGTATTTTTAAATGTAGTACTGTATTTTGAAAAAAATTCAAAGATATTTTTATTATTCATGCATTCATATATACATTAATATTACTATTCAATTTTTTATTTTTATTTTTCTAAACAATATATAAAATCAAACCTCAAATGATTTAAAATATTTAATATAATATCAAAATCAGGTATCCCATTTTGGCGATTTTATAATTAAGTTTTTATAAAATATTTCAAATATAAAATAAATATTTTACGTGGTATATATTTTTTTTCAAATATATATAATTAAATAATATCTTCAATATTTCAATGAAGATGTATATAAAGGAAGCCTAATTAATTTTCTATTCAGATATCGACCTCATATTGCATACATACATAAATTAATAAATGTGACAAAAGAATATTATTATTATTATTATTATTATTATTATTATTATTATTATTATGGGTAGAGACAATGACAGCGACTGCCTTAATTAATTGATACATTGCCTTAATTAATGAATTCAATAAATTTCAACATTCAACGATTTTGAAATTTTTGTACAGACAAAAAAAAAAAACAAAAAAAGGACATGGGCAAGGGAGAGGCAGGGAATGGTCCGCTTCTTGCATTGCATAGCATATTTGCATGGTCCTCGTCGTCCACTCTCTTTGACCTTTCCGCATTGATCAGTTGTACGTTTGACTCTTAGTCAAACGTACGACTGATGGAACGTGCACGCAATTATTTCTTTCCCTTAATAAATTTAATTTAAAATTATTCATCATTCCGTTTCATAAAAATATTTATTTTCGTCACTCCCTAATTTCAAAAGCACACGCCCACACCCACCTTTAGAAAAATATTAGGCCTTGTTATTTTGATATCTTTTAAGCTTCTTTACTAATAATGATTTTTTTTTTTTAATTTAAAAATTTTCAAAGTAAATATTTATTTGATATTATATTAAAAATTAATTATATATTCAAAAAAATAATCTATCAAAATCAATTTATATTACATTAAACATTTATTCAAATTTAAAATTTTACTATTGAAAATTCAAACTCTAAATATATATGTCCAAACAAACAAGCTATTCGAGTCAGCTTGATTGCAAGTTGAAATACGATAC